GGGCTGGCTGGCATGTGGTGCTGGGGGATTGAACTGCGGTCCCTGTGTTTTGCTAAGCTTGTTCTAAGTAGGTGCTTTAGACCACTGGGCCATCTCACCAGCCCTCTAATTAATTAATTAGTGGCTAGGTTTCACTATGCAGCTCAGGCTGGCCTTGAACTTGTGACCCTACTATCCTTAGCCTCCTCAGTGCTGGGACTGCAGCATGTACTGCCATGCCCAGCTCAGCAGCTTATTTTTCTGTGATCACTATTACACAATAGCAATGATAACAACAATTTGTTAACTGATACAACTGTACTAATTTATAGTTGTTTGACAAAAAGAAAAATTAAAAAGATATATTAATTTTGATAATGCTTACTTAGGGCCCTTAAAGTGAAACAGTCACAGCCACCAGGTCAGGGTATTCCCACCCGGAGATGCTTTCATGGGGGAGCGAGGGCTGCATGTACAGGGTCAAGTGCACGCCCAGGGCATCCCATGCTGAGGAGCTGGTATTCGGCACTGCATGCATACAAAATAGGTGATAATCAGCAAAATGTTTGACCCCACATATACATACTAATATTTTTATTATATGTTCTTTCTTTATTTATTCATTATTTATTGTTCCTTATTTATTTTTATCACATGTTCTTTACTGCCCTCTTTGAAGGCAATTGCTCCATTTCGAAAGGTGGGCTTCCCAGCCAGTGCTGCCCCCCTGAGGGGCTCGGAGCTGGCACTGTCCTCTTCCCTCCCGCACATGCAGTGTGCTGCGCGCACAGCCTGCCTCTGCCGTCAGACTGTAAGGACCAAAGGGCCCAGGACTCCCTGGTTATCATCATGTTCCCAGCACCTCGCACCCCGTGCCTGGTAGCGCAAGCACATACTGAACCATTTCTGAAATTTTAAGCAATTCACTACTTCTTCACTTTAATTCATACAGTAATATGAACTGAAAAACAGCAGCTTTTAACATAAAAAAGTTTATTTTGTCAAAGTTGTTTTCAAGGTTATCAGATGTTTAAAAACTTTCCAAATTCTGTTAATTACAGATCCTTTGAATCATACAGCTATTAGTGCTGGTCTTTAAGAAAAAAAAATTACGCTTGCCTAATGACTTCAATTATAACCACACTAAGTAAATCCAGAGCATAAAATGCTAAAATATGCTTCACTGGGGGGAAAAATCTTTGCTGAGTCTAAAAAGAAATAAACATTGCTGAATTTCAGGCCACCCAAAGAGAACTTCATTTTCTGACCACCATTAGCTCCTCAGTAGAGGCAATCCACCCGAAACATTCTTTCTGTAGGACACTCCAGAGACACAGAGATCCTGATAGAGAGATCTTCAGAAACAGTATAGAGCTGAAAGGATTTCTGTTTTATGAACATTACGCAATAATTTGGTTACTTCATGACGGCCCCTCCCCCCTTGGAACAAAGAGGAACAAAGTGTGAGAAATCCAACAGAAAAACTCCCTTTTTTATCCAGTCCAGATGGCTCAGTTAGGGGATTTTTCTCAGTCTTGTGCTAAGTTAGAGGCACAAAAATAAGCTAGTTGCAGCTACATCCAAAGTGAATAGAGACCATGGCTGAATATGGCTTTTAAAAAGCTGCAGCATGCCAAGGATGAATATGCTATGCTGGGACTGAGGGGCTCCCCGCTGCGGGTGTTGCTGCTCCTTCTGCCAGCCAGACTCCGGGGGAGCGACACTTCCACTGGCTCAACCTCAGAGCCCGGGTCACCTCCGTGAGGCTTTCAAAGAGAAGGTCTCCCTTTACACAGCTGTATGGGTGCTACAGCGAAGGAAGTGGAACAGACTGGAAGAGAAATGGACGCTGTCTTGCTTCTCACAAGCTCCTGAGAAGGCCAGATGGCTTGTCCCGGACCTTAGCAGAATCCCAGAAACTGAAGAGATCGAAAAGTGCAGAAACACTTAAAAACTAAATGATAATTAATTTTAAAAGTGTTGAAAAGAAGATGCAAAAAGCAGGAACTGCCTAAGGGAACTGTTCCCAGAAGCAGAATTTAGGAAGGAATGACTTCTTAGTCCCAAAATAACTTTTTCCATCCACAGTGGCTGAGAATTCACACTCCACTTCTCCCCAGCCCCCTGTTTTGGTTTAAATTCCTCTTGATTTATTTGGAATAGCACATTTGTAGGGGACAGTTCTCTTCTAACAAGGCCATATTGACTCAGGGAGAACTGAGGGTCAGGGGTATCTGTGGAGGTGGAACCACAGCCCAGGCTGCCGGGGGTCAGGAAGGGCTGCCTGAGGGCAAGGTAGGCCTTGGTCAAACGGTGTGGAGGAGAGAAACGGGGGGGGGTGTGCTTCTGCAGGGAACCACCCACATGGACTTGGGGAGCCCCGGAGGAACCCAATTCAATATCCTTATTCCTCCAATTATATGGTTCTTCTGTTAAGGGAGTTTTTCCTTAACATATCCCAAGTTGTTAATCAGTTAACTAAGATGTTTGCAAAGCACACTTAAGTTATTTAGTGCCCCTTGCCCCCATTCACATACATGCAGTTGTTATTTTTTAAAAGCACAGTGTGGTAAAATTTATTATTTTGGAGACAATCTTGCTGAGTTGCCCAACCTGGCCTCGAACTTGCAATCCTTCTGCCGCAGGCTCCCACCTCGCTTGGCTTTCCACCTGTTTTGGATCTGTGATCAGAGTTTGGGACTTGCACAGAGTCCCCCCTAATGGCAGTTGAGTGGGGTTGTCCTACCAGCACCTCTGACCTGGCCCGGGAAGTCTGCAAGAAATGCAGTCTGAAGCCCAGGCCAGACCAGCCGCACAGACCCCAGGGGCTCCTCCACTCCCAGAAACCTGGGAGCACTGGCGCAGGACGCAGCTCAGAGCACATCCTCAGGATGTCAGCTACGGGAAGGGAGTGGCTTCTCTGGCAGTGTCCCAAAAGCCTTTCATTGGACAGAAGATGAGCTCAGTGCTGAGAGACAGCGTGTTCTGAGGCACTGTTCCAGGCTAGCCATTAGCAGATGAAAGCTCTGAGTGAGCCATCTGGGCAGGGCCGTCTGGACCAGCACAACTGAGGAAGCGAGGCTCCCTGGCTTCTGAGGAGGAGGTGCCCTTGGAGGTCTGCCTCAGGACTCCTGATCCGGCCCCTCCAGGCTTGGCAGCCACGTGGGGAAGACTACCACTGTGGGCTTGAAGAATTTATTTTGACAATTTTGTTAACAAGGACTTAACATAGTAAAACTCCATGTTAGATCTTCATTTGAAGAGACCTGCTGGAAAGCTTTGGAAGTCATTATGGTTCTGTGAGGTATAATAACTCAAGTCTATTTCTGTCACTAAAGTTTTCATTTTAGCTGAAGAATCGGGATCTTTTCAGAAAAAAGTATTCATTTAACTGACAAAGAAAATTATCCTGGTAGCTGAGAGACAAATTTTAAGCTAAAATATATTTACATATATTTGGTATTTTTAAATAGTTTAAAAGAATTTTATTTTATGTCTTCATTGCATTTGTGATGTAATATCCTTTCCATGTACCTTTTAAGTTAAATGAGGCTTTGAGGAAAGACTTTATTTCTCTTACTGAGTTAGAATCTCTAAGAGCAGCCCTAGCTTCATATTTTTAGGTGGCCCTTTCACAGCATAATGGCAATCTGGTCGGCAATCTGATTATTACAGCTGCAGTTGGCAAACGCACTGTATTTCTAAAATTACATAATGGAAAGATGATGTACGCGTCTGAGCATTCCCAAGGCAGACCTGGTATTGTGTTAAAGGAGACTTCTCTATGTACATTGTGCGATCTTTAGATGAAAAGGAAAAAAAGATCAAGTATCTATGATACTATTTCAAAAATCCCAATTTTTAGTAATAAAACTTATAATAGGCAGCTTACTGTTCTCCTCATCACATTCAGCCCTGCTTGATTAAACTTTTTTTTTTGTGGTAGGATCTTGCGCGGCAAGCGTTTATTCTACTGAGCTATCTCCCCAGCCCTCCATTTCTTTCTTTCTCAATTTGTCAATCCTGTTTATACTTTCCTCCCTCCCTTACGTATTTCATGTATTTATTTCATTAAGCCTATGCAAGGGAACAATTATTAGATATATTTGTTTCCCTGATTTTATGGTGGCTTTTTTTTTGGGGGGGGCTTCTTTTATATTGCTTTATTGAGCTACTTTCTGTACAGTCTTTTCACTTTGATATTTTTCTTGCTTTGTGAGTTGTTTCCATTTTCTTCTTCCTTTTTCAAAATAAGTCATGTGTGTATGTATGTGTGTATATATTTAGATGTTGCAGGGTCTCACCATGCAGCTCAGACTCGTGGAGGTCCTCCTGCTTTCAGCCTCCCCAGCGCTGGGGTTACAGGTGTGTGCCACTATGCCCTGACTCTGGTGGGCTCAGCCCTCCCTGGGGCAGGACTGGAGTGGCATGTGGTGCCAGGGATTGAACCACATTCCCTGCGCTTGTCTAAGCTTGCCTAAGCAGGTGCTTTAGTCCACTGAGCTAACTCACTGGCTCTCAAAATAAAAAGTCTTTTAAAACTATTAGATTCGAGAAAATGCAGTGGGATAGGTATCACTGGCATTTTAATTTGTGAATGAAGTCTCTCACTGCACCTTGACTTTCCTCATGGTCAATCATTATTTCTCCTGTTTGGAGCTTACTGGGGTTTTCTTCAAGTGGCGAAGCTATGACTTCTGAACAAATAAAGACCAAGCAGAGCCCGGGATGCCTCTGAATACATTTTTCCCTGCAGTGAGGGTGGAGGCAGCAGAGTTTTTTGGTTATTGTAGCTTTTACGACTTTTAGCTATTCCATCACTAGGGCTTAGGGTGGGGGTAGCCAGGCCTCCTTCCAATTTACTTCTTAGCAACATTTCCTTTAAAGGAAACAACTGTTTCTGTCTCTTGTTTTAAAAATCCACTTCCACTGGCACTGTGAGGTTGGCAAAATTCTTCCTGGTGCTAGCAAAAGCCTGACTTGGCCCCTTAGTTTAGTGTTACTGTGAGCAGCTCTCTTACTGTGTGCATGTTTTCCAGAGCATTTTTTTGGAAGACACAAACGACAGGCAGCTAGGGCAGGCTTGCGAATCTCTACATGCAAGCTGTAGAATACTATCAATAAGTCAGGGGTACATTAACTCACATTCTAAAAGTTTAGAAAGAATTATAGTAGACATTTATTTTTAATCCCTCAATTACATAATCTTATTCACATTTAACACCTGCTTCCTAAAGTTGGATCCACTGTAATGATCTTGAAATGATCAGAAAGAATTTGTTTTTGAAAAACCTAAGGAAGAATACAAGTCATGTGATCTTACTAGTATCGATTACTTTGGCAGTGAAGTTATATATCATTATTTTATTTTTGGTGAAATGGGTGATTGAACTCAGGCCTTTGTGCTTACCAGGCAAGCACTTATTCTACTGAGCTATCTCCCTAGTCCCTATATATTGGTTTTTATATAAGTAAACATGAACTCATCAAAAATCACTTTGGCAGAACCGGGGATTGAACTCAGGCCCTTGAGCTTGCCAGGCAAGTGCTTCTTCTACTGAGCTATCTCCCTGCCCCTTGAGTCATTGTACATTGCCAACAGTTGGATTATATTTTGTTTTTGTAAAATTAAAGATTTGTTTCATAAGAAAAAAGACTGATAATGTTTTACTTTAAAACCCATTCTCCATGTGATCACATTAAAAAAAAAAACAGCATTAATAATGTCTTATAAGATACCACAGTATAATTCAAGTATAAGTATCTACTCACAAAGTCAACTAGGAAGTGTGGGTAAAGGTGATAGAGTTGATATACACAATTTTATTTCTTCTGCAAATCTCATTAAAACAACAGTAACATTTTTTCAAAAATGGCATAAATCCATCAGAATACAGGTGAGAAGAAAGCATCAAAAAAAAAAAA